AAATCTCCCAGATTCAGCTAGACTCGGTGGCTCAGCCTATAATCCCAGAACTTTGGGAGGCCAAGGAGAGTGGATTCCCTGAGACTGCGGGTTCTAGACCAGCCCTGGCAACTTGGCGAGACCACGTTTCTACAATAAATCAAAAATTAGCCAGGCGTGGTAGTCCACGCCTGTAGTTCCAGCTACTTGGAAGCCTGAGACGGAAGGATCGCCGGAGCCCAGCAGGTCGAGGCTGCGGTGGCCGGGAGTGTGCCCTGCCCTCCAGCCTGGGCAACGGAGTGAGACTTCGACTCAAAAAAAAAAAAAAAAAGTCCCAAACCAGACACTTCCCTCTGAGCAGCAGCCTCAGCTTTGATTCCTAATGACTCAACCTGTCACCTCTGAGCCCGACATGAATCCTGCCCAAGGGACGCAGACTCCACACACGTCCTGGGGATCACTGCTGCCCAGGTTGGCACCACGCCACCCCCCACCTAGTCTCCTCTGACTTTCACAGTGACTCAGGCAGCCAGCTGGGTGTCTGACATCAGCGAGAGAAGGTAGGTCCTGACCCCAGGCTAATCGTGGCTTAGTGGAGTCTGTGGCGATCCTGGGTTTGGTGTGCAAGGTTCCCCAGGGTCTCCTGTGGAAAGACAGGACATGCCTGTGATTCCTGAGATGGGCTCACCGCTGAGATCTTCCCCAGAGCTGAGTTGCAGGTGCACATGGAGCCCTCCTTACCTTTGTGTCTGGGGTCTCACCTGTTTCCCTGGGTAGCCCAGCCAGGCTGTAGCTTCCCAAAAGGACAAGACGCCACCCTGAACCAGAGCCCTGCAGGGACCGGGCCCCAGGCGGCCAGACGTGGGCGGAATCTCCCCTGCTGCCCCTTTCTGTCCTCCAGGATAAAGTCTTTCATCTTGGCAGGAGGGACTGAATGTCCCAGACAGTGGCCAACCACGCAGACAGGACTCCAGCAGTCCGGAACCGCTGCAGCCTCCTTGGCCGCAGGTGGTCAAGACCTCCCCACTTGCTGCTCCACCCAGCGCAGCCCCGACCTCCACGAGCCAGGGCCACCCCACGCCTTCCCGACCCCGACGCCCTGCCCGGGGCCCTCCTGCACTCTCATGGTTGCCACCGTCCCGGGTCCCCTGTGGCTGGTGAGGGGTGGTGGTGGCTCTGGGGTTGGGCTGCGTTCTGGGTTTGGTTTGGGAAATGGGCCCGGAACCCCGGGCTGCCCGGAGGCCTCACCGAGAGGCGGCTCAGAGGGCCGGGGGTGCTCGGGCGGGGGCGGCACGGGGAGTCTGGGGCCCGGCAACAGGCCGGCCAGGCAAGCTGAGTTCCTCCCAGAGCAGGTGCTCCAAGGGCTGGGCGGCTCCCCAGGCCACAGGGTGAGTGGACAACATCACCAGGGACAGCGAGGGGCGAGCGGCAGAGGGCCAGGGGAGGGCTGGCAATGGGGCGGGTTTCTTCTTGGGCTGAAGTTTACTCAAAAAACAATGAATTGCAACACTTTATTTTTAATGTATGTATTTTTTCAGTTGGAGTCTCACTCTGTCGCCCAGACTGGAGTGTGGTGGCCGCTCCCGGCCACCGCAGCCTCGAC